TAAAAAAATTCCAAGCTACAGATGGGCCACTATTGTAGCAATCGGAGTGTGCATAATCACGAATTGAGATACAGATAGACAACCCTCCACACATAATATTGCTACAATAATGGCATCATAACATGTTTATGTAGGATCACAACCCTAACCCTCTGACACTCCTGCTAACTGAGATCATTCTGTTTTCAGCATGGAGATGGACGGATAGACATCAGACACTTTGTCATTGCACTGTCCACTGTTCATCAACCATCAAAGTCAATGGAGACCCTCAAACTGGCCTTCAAGGTGAGCAGGTTTGCAATCTGGTTTGACGGCGGCATTAAATTATTGCTCTAAACACACATGTTGCTGTTCAGATGTATGAGATCGAGGAGGGCGGGGACGTCAAAGAGGAGGACCTCGCCACCATCTTGGAAATAATGCTGGGAGTGAAAGAGGTGGAGCTCTCAGGTCTGTTTTTATCGCTCGACAGACCTGACACGGAGAGGATCACATACGGTGAGACCCCGGCTCGTGGTAGTGCAGAATTTTGAAACATCAGTACAAAACTGTCGGATTAATTGCAGCCTTGTGGTTTATATGAAACTCCTGCACAGATGATTGACAGCATCTGTCTCTGTTCCCTCTTCCTCTGTGCTGTCACTTAACACATTTGATTTCTCCTTGGCTGTACTGAAGAGGATAAGTACCGTCTGTTGTCGACTTTCCTGGGTCTTTTACATCCACCATCTGTCTTTTCTAGAAACCGTCAAAGCTTCTCTGTGCACGTGTTTCTTCCTCTATTGTCCTTGTAAAGTGATTTCTACTTTCACCATGAAACAGGCCAGCAGACTGACCATCTGCACAAACAGTAAAATGCCAGATTTAGATGAGTGAAAGTTGTTAATCTTCTCTGTAAAAATTTGAAATCTTCATGGTCCTTCATGGTCATACCAAAAAATAAAACTAACAAGTTGACGCTACCGCAGAATTTATAAAATCTTTGGCCGCAGCAGGGGTGCAAGTGCAGGTCGTAACAGATTGAGAGTGACAGGTACACAAACTAAAGAGTGAAAGACAAGTTAACGCATGAGAGAGAGAACTCAAATGAAGTAATGAGGTCTGACTGCCTGTGTGGATGGTAATACCTTTATGGACGGTAGTGCAAGTGCAAATTGAGCTGCACATAGTTACACAATGTAGCAACAAAGCAAAACACGAAGTTAGTGATCTCTTATGTTATTAGAGTGTAAACTTTTCTTTTTGGTTCATTATGAAACTGTGTCAGGACAAACTACAATATGGCGGGCTGCCACAGTCTAGATAATTAATAAGAAACACTGTGTTACATCGCTCCTTGGATAAAATTTAAAAAAAGGATTTAATTTCACTGTTTACGTTCACAGACAGCAGTAACAACGCTTCTATGTCTTTTTACAGATGAACTTCGTCATTTTATTCTGCAGCATCCTTACTTCGTCCAGGAACATCTCGACTTTAAAGATCATCCACGCAAATTCTGCATCAAACCCCCGAAGAGCTGCAATGGCCACAACCACGACAAAGACGCCTGAATGACGAGATATCCGACCGCTCTATTTACCTTTTGTGTCTGATGTAATCACCTCATGCTGCAGCTTGCCTAGCACCTCTGTGCCTTTATGTGCCAGTGGGGAGAATAACAAGGAGAATAATAAAGGTGTTATGAAGTGTGACGATGGATCAGTGGACCACAGACGATGGAATCAGAATCTTAACTCCATCTTTTCTTTCATTTCTCCTCTGAACCTTTTTTTTTGCCTTCCTTTGTTTTTAGTTTAATTATGATGCTTATGTTTTCTGAATGTCTCTTTTTCTTTTATTGAGTCAATCAACTTTTAAAAAGAGTTTAATTTCCTGCTTCAATTTGTGTTTTTCT